GGGGAGGTTTGTGCACACGTGGGCCAGTCCCCACGTGTGCACAAAAATAAAAAAAGTTTAAAAAAATTTCGGGGGGATGTTTAAATCCCCCCGAAAGTGCAAGAGCGTCTCTTGCGCATGCGCAGGAGACGCTCTGCGAACGCTGCCACCGGCCAGGTGGGTGGGGAGGGGGGGAGGCCGGGCGGGGAGGAGAGGCCTTGCTGCTGCCGCCGCCTCCTCCCCAGAGCCGGCAGGCAGGCCGGGGAGGTAGGTAGGTAGGGCGGGGAGGTAGGTAGGGCGGGCGGGGAGGAGAGGCCTCGCTGCCGCCACCGCTGCCGCCTCCCCGGAGCCGGCAGGCCGGCCGGGTGGGTGGTTAGGAAGGGCGGAAGGGCGGGCGGGGAACCTCGCCTCCGCCGCCTCCTCCTCCTCCTCCCCGGAGCCGGCAGGCGGGGGGGGGAAACCGGCCTCGCCGCCGCCGCGGGGAGATGGGGGGGATGGAGGAGACGGAGCTCTTCTCCCCCCCTCCCCCGCGAGTATCGCGGGTCCCCCCTTGTACTACTTCTAACAGAAGCATGTCAGTTCTAAGGGTTCCCTTAAAAGTTAGAATTTAGAACTCCCAATAGTGTGACTAACAAAAGCTCTTCAGCTCCTTTGAAAAATTAGCATCTCAGATATATTACTTGGCAAACCAAACCAAAGTGCAAATCACTGTGTGGACACTCACTCTTTCAGCAAGCACAATCTTGAATAAGCAATGTAGCATGACATGCAACCTAACTTAAATAGGGGTTTTAACACTTAAACACTAATGTGGATGTGATGGAAATATTTAACATCTGGTAGGATCCACTACACAACTGAAGACAGCAATACATTGCTGACAACATGGATTACAACAGTGGTAAACTGAATTTTGTTTGTATTTTGCTTCCCTTTGAGGGCTTGAAGCTTATGGCCAGGACCCAAAGAACCACAAAACTTACATCGAGCCCAAGGAAACTGAAGGTACATTTCATCTCCCCACTCCACAGGCCAAACTGCTTTTGAAACTGAGGATTTCAGAAAGTACTTAGCTCCGTGATAGATGAGGCAGCAGGGTTTAAAAAAAAACCAAAAAAACATACAGTAACACTGCGAACCTATTTGCACAGCCATAAACAGCACTCCGGATCCTGGCCTGTGTTTTTTTCCCTTCACATTGCCCTGTAAGAAAACTCAAGCCATCGCCTTCAAGTAGTCAGCTCCTTTGCTTTACAGCACCCTGCTCCCAATACCCCTTTTTTTGCCAGGCATTCTATCTTCAGCTTTCCAGACTAGTAAGCAAGCCTACCCTGAATTGCTTGTCAGCAGCCCATTCAGGTCTATGACCAGCTTTCCCCTCACACCTTTGAGGCATAACGTGCTGAAACAGCTGTCTGGTTTCCAAACTAGTTAAGCCTAGGGCTGATTTTGGAGGATAATGAAAGCATGGGCTCAAAGGATTTTATACTTCAAAGGATTCGTATTTGGTTGATCTTTCAAATTTCCCTTAAAAAACCCCCAGCAATGCTGTAAAATAAAAAGTTAGATGATTAAAACCAAAATATTCATCGCAAACAGAAGTCTACTTTAAGATCCCTGAGATTCACTTGTTTGCCATAGAGATTAAGCAAGCCCTAATTATTTCTGTGCTAAGCATCATACAGTTTACATGCAATATAAGCAGTACATGTTCCATGAAGAAATGGGCCAGATTATGTAGTAAAACTGATATTTACACATTGCAGTTTGGAATTTGATCTAAGTTCCATATTGTTTTCCTCAAAGAGGAAAACACAAATTTAAATCTGGATTCCTCCTTGATTAAAGTACTAAAAACCATGTTTCAAATTACTCAAAAAATCTCTTGAAAAGCCTGATTCTTCAAAAATTTTAAGATACTCTTTGGACATGCTTAAATTGTATTCTGTGTTTTAATGAAAGATAGCAGACACTACTTTCCATCCTTCTAGTCACTAGGGGATAAAAACTGGGACAGGGAAAAGGGATGTTTGACTTGGATAGTAATAAGTAAGGCCACAAGCTACAGCCTTTTTGGTTTTTAATTCAAGGGGCTTCGCTGATGCACCCTTAGAAGATGATGGATCATTCTTGTATCAGAATTTCAAAAGAAATCAAAGAACCAAAACATCTCGGAAGACCAACTGTCCACCTGCTCTGCTACAAGAATACTTCCTACAGAGAAGGGGAATCATTCATTGGTAAATACTCGATTTATACATATGGAAGATAGCAAGTACAATCCTCAAATACTACTTTGGGATGTTAAGAGTTGATATTATCCCAGCAGAAATTACTCCAAAAACAATTTATTTTGGTAATTAAGAGCTAAACCTCTTAGTTTTCTTCTGAGTAACACATTAAGAAGGCACTAGCTCCAAAAGCTTGCATATTATTACAAGGAATGTAAATTTCAGATTATGCATTAATTAAGGTAGATTTCCTCGAGAGGCACAAAGAAGGGGGTGTGAATATGAAGAACATTGTGAAGGACTCTTCAAACAAGCAATGCAAGATGGTAAGATAAGCAAGAGATTCGAGTGGCTTTGTGCATTTTCACCTACTAGAAGGCACCTTGTTTTGTTTTTTTTTATTACTGGTTTCAGAAGCTAGTAAACGCCATACACCCCTGAATGTGCAATTCAAATTAAGAACACTGTTTTCAACATCAGCCTAGATGTTAGTCCTGAACACGGTGATGTAATATTTCTGTTGGTATTACCACATCACATTGCAATAATGCCATATCAGCAACAAGACATCTTCAGTAAACCAGAACCTATGGATATCCCTTCTACCTGAGCAATAATTAGCATTGTTTATTGCTAATGAAAATTATCTAATTAAGCATGGTGAGAGAAGATTGCACACTCCCTTGTTTCCCACCCCAATATATTTAAATTTTTAAGTTTCCTCCAACTGTACCCGCCTAGAATACAAATAAAAATGTGGTTGCAAGACAGCATTTCTGGCGCAGCCTTCTTGTTGTTCTTTACTCCAAGCCATCTTTAAGGAGTCTTCATCAACAATAAAAAAACCTGAAGTTTCATGGGAACTTCATTTGTTATGTGCCTCTTTTTGCTGTACTGCAAATGGGACAAATGTACTCGACAGCAGACATCTTTCCAACATAAACCTAAATCCTTCATGAAGTCATCCTTCAGTGACTACTTGAGCCCTTATGCCCGTTATGAGCTGCACAGTTCAAGAGGAACAAGCTGCTTCAGATGTGGTCTTGCGATCTTCAGTATTACTCCACATGAACAATGTTCAGATCAAGCCCACCATCTGATCAATCTGTCTCATATAAACACTCTTTAATGGCAGCAGGTATCTCCTCTCATCTGGTACTCTGTTGCACTGTAAGCAAAATGAATTTTTTAAAATAGATATATATATAAATTTGATTTTATAAAAACAAAACCCTGAGGTTACTGATTAGCCACACTCATGAATTGGTACTGCTTCAAGCAACTCGCCAAACATGTGCTCTGCCCTAGACAGATATAGATGAAACTGGATACGTGTATTTTTAAGAAGGCTGTGACACACTGGAGAGCTGCTGTGGTGTGGTGGTTAAGAGTGCCAGACTAGGATCTGGAAGACCAAGGCTGGAATCTCCCACTTGTGCCATGGAAGCTCTCTGGGTGACCTTGGGTCAGTCACACTCTCTCAGCCTAACTTACCTCAGAGGGTTGCTGGGAGGATAAAATGACATAAGCAGCTTTGGCTCCCCCTGGGGAGAAAGGCGAGGTACAAATGGATTAAATAAATAAGTACACCTACATCTCGGGGGGGGGGGGTTACTTGATGTAAGAATTCACTCAGTGGATGGGGAACATCATGAATCAGAACTGTTCCACCCATCTACTTCCAGAGGTAGGACCAAAAGCCCCCAAATGTGGAACATGCCCCTGTATCCAGGATGTGTAGCTGTGGACCGAAACCTTTAAAAACTTAACTCAGAGACTTACAAGGCAGGGAAGATGAAAGCTGGCCTAAAGGGGCCCTTCTTTCTATCCTTGAGTTAAGCTGTTTGCTATTAAAACTGTGCACAACTAGAATTCTAATTTTTTCATTCAACACAATCAAACCTAGAACAAAAGCAGGACATCCTAGATCTGCTGAGAACACACACTCCTGACGAGTAATAAGATGGCTTTTCAGTGGAGAACATACTGGAACAGCTTGTCCAGAAGCAGTGCGCCACATCCCAGAGAGAAATCCAGTACAAAAGCATTAAACAACTGTAGGACCATCCTCATCAAGGTTGCTTTAGCAGAAGGATACTTGCCTATCCTATAAGTATCTGCATGGACCTCCTCCAACAGGTCTCTAACTCAGAGGACTGCAGCTCTAGCAATGACTGATGCCACAACAAAGCTCTCCATGATTAAAAAGAGGCTCAGTTTGTCTCTCATTCTTCCTGTTCTCCATTCTGAATCCCTTCAACTGTCCATGAAAATAGGCAGCTACCAGAGCATCCATTAATAGTGCTTGGGGGGGGGGTGTCCATGATACCTCTTGGCAAGATCCTTTCTTTTC